TATAGAATCTTAAAAACATTCATTTGCTTTTCCTCTTGTAATTAATCATCATAATGCTATTTTAACTGAAAAGGTTACCTTTAATTTTACAACTTGATAACCAAAACTGGCTTCTAAAGGAACAGCTGCAACAACAGGTTTACCATTTGTTTCAAAAATGGGAGGATTATCATTCTCATCACCTACTTCAATCACCACTAATGCTTCATCATAAGCAAGATGATAAGAAATATCATCTGTTTTACCTATAAAATTAATATATAAACAGAAAACATTCCTTATTATAGCACAAAAACAACGTTAAAATAAAAAAATCCAACAACGACAAAAGCTATGTTGCTCCAGGCTTCGTCGCACACCCTTTTAGAAAAATTTTCTAGGATAAATCTAAATCTTTTATATATTAAAACAAATACTATGATACTAGCTCAAATTTAAAATTATGTGTGGCACCATCTGTTAGGAGATGTTATTTTTTAATTGCTTTTATATTATAAATTATTATAAAAAGAGGAAAAAGGCTTAATTTAGAGGAGAGACGAGTTTTTAAAAATATTGCAAATGCCAATAACGAGTAACGACCCCACCCCAGATATGACACATGACTCACCTCTCCATCTCTCGAGTTCCGTACTCCAAAATTTAATAGCATCAATGCCCCTTATATACAAATTATCGTGCCAAATTTCAATTTCTTAATCTTTATCCCATCCTGAGATATTAAACGAAATAGACGCCAATATACATATACGTGTTTACGGAATTTTTCCCAATTTTTTTTTTTTTTATAACATTTTGGGGTTCAGGGGTAACAGCCAGGTTTCAACGGGGTTATAATAGAGGGGAAAATTAAAACTTAATTATATACTCGCTTACAAATTACAAAGTTATAAGGTAAATAATACAGTTAGCTATTGTTATGAAGTTTAATTTAAGTTTCAAACTAAATATTATACATTATATATATATATACATGTGTGTAAAAGTGTTGTACTGCCAAGAAGTGTTTGCATTCACAAGAGCTTCGACTTATCAGTTCAGTGCAGTCATATAAGCCATCGAAATCCTTTCCATAAGTTTTAGTTCTAAGCGAGAATTAATTTAAATCATAAACCAATTTGATTCCGTTTCTCTTCTTTGAAAAATATCTAAAAATAGAAGAGAATTTCCAGTGAAATATTTCAATTTCTAGAAAGAATATACAAAACTTTTTTTTTCCAAATTATAATGCAATAAGACTTGCCTGATCCTAAAATACAATTATTGAAAGTTTCACTTTCTTTTTTAAAACATATAAAATGTAATCTTAAAATTAAACATTTTCTTTATATTATATCGTGTCATTCCCTTCTGTATTTGAAAGCTACCACGCCTATGAAACTAAAAGAAAAATTTACAAACGCAGCTGTCAGCAGTTTACAACATGGTTAAATTCACTCTCACTCCCTGAATACTGAAGCTTCTTTCGAATTCTATTCAGCTTCACCTCTCCAATAAAACTATAAAGAAATATATTTAAATTAATCGAAAATACATTATTTTTTGTTAATTACGTATATGAAAACAGAAAAAGAAAATACATTTTTTCAATTATTTTTCAGATAAACTTACGATATCGACTATTCTGTAGCCTTAGGTATAGAAAATGTAAGTAATCTTTCCTCACTTTCGACGTGTACTAATGTCTGGAGGCTTTATAGTGTATTATACTGTAGAATAACTGCATTCGAAAAATATAAGCATTAAATATTAAATTCTTAGTATTTTTATGTTATAATTTGCGTAATAATTGCGACCGATATAGCGTAAAAAGTTTTAATTGAGGCCTTATTGTTTTACTTTCCTTATTTACAATTTGGACGAGTGGAAAAACTAAGTTTTAAATTTTAAGTGGTCGAGTGGATAAAACCCCCGGACACTAGTCGTGGGTTCGTGCCTCACCAACAGTCTGCTCAGGTGGAGTTTTCCTATTTTCTTCGCGTGTCTAACACCTAGATAGGGGTCAGCTTCTTGGAGAAAGTTCTATCATGTGGTACCCCCTTGACAGATTGTCCTAGTGTTGTGTTGCCTTATCCCATCAAATCAAATCTTTCTAATATAACACTTATTTATCTTTATCATTTACATTTTACTATCAACTTTTAATAATCATTGTGCGGAAGTTTAGAATTTTTTCGAGTATNTAGTATCAATAAATTATGATTTCTTACTATTCAGAATATATGTAAATTCTCCTTCTCCTGCATCAAGTGTAAAAACAATGTCACCAGGTTGTCTATTTTCAGCAACTTCTAATGTATATACCGATTTTGCAAATTCAGGAATTGCATCATTTGTATCTATAACTGTCACCCATAACTTGGCAGTAGAAGATAAACTAGGAACACCTTGATCATAAGCTATAACTGACATATTGTAGAAAGGCTTCTTTTCATAATCCAGTTTTGCAAGAGTCCAAATAGTTCCATCTAGAAAATAATTATTTTAATAATCATTAATATATTTAAATCATTTATATCATAAAAGTAAAATTTTAATACCTTTACTGTCAATATAAAATTTATTTTCATGGCCATCTCCTAATTTATAAAAGACTTGTCCATTCAAGTTAGAATCTGAGTCATATGCTGTGATGCGTGTAACCTTAATATGTAAAAATTATTATTTTAATATAGGATTAATTTTTTAATCGTTATATGATTATTTTGAAAATTCATTACTTCTTGTCCAGGATCTAAATTTTCAAATACTTGTGCCAAATAAGGATCAGTAAAAAATCGTGGACTTTCATCATTGACATCCTGTACTTCTATGGTTACATTGATGGTAGAGTTTTGTGGAGGTTCACCGTAATCTAATGCCTGTTAATTGCATTTAATTTTAAGAAATAATTAAATTATTGCATTTAGATATTAAAAGTTAAATATATCTTTTAAATTAATAATTAAATTTGGCACATAAATTAAAAGAGAGGATTTATTTCTCAGAGAATCTAAGTATTATGAATTTTATTTTTGCCATTATATTAAATCAAAATAATTTAGTATTTTCTACTTTAATAATTATCTCAGTATGTAAACATAAAATTAACTAATGAATTTTAAAAAATTCATTTCTATTATATCAGTAATAGTGTACATTTGAAAATAATTATTCAAAAGTGTGATAAACTTCAAACAACTGCAAATTATGTATTAAACTAGTCCACATTAAATTGTTAAATATACATTGTATAGACAAAATTGTTCAAACACCTAAATGCAAAGTAACATTTTTATTTATTTCAAAATTTAGTGTCTTGTTGGACCACCTCATGTTGGTGCAACTCATCTAGACATGAATTCCTGAAGTTTCCCTTAAATTTTGGCTGAAATTTTTCACCATTCCTCCTTCATTTCCACTGCAAGATCTGACTGGGAGAAAGGGCATTGTGATTGAAATCAGATTTGGTATTCCAGCTTGTCCCAAAAGTATTCTATAAGAAGCAAATCTGGACTTTGAGTTGGCCAGTCCAACTTTTAAACTTCATTCTCATCAAACCAGTCATGTAAAAGCCATGAAGTATGGTATGGTGCATTATCACACAGAAACATCAACTGTTTGTTTCTCAATTCTGGTTTTTTTGGTGCTAACATGTGTTCCTAGAGATGTTCCTAGAGCTGTTTCTATCACACAAGAAAGAGCTTGTGTGATAGTAGTTGTGCATGATTTCAGAACACTTCTCACTAGGTTTTTTCAGTCATGGTTAGACTGTTTGTGAGGTCTTCAATGTACTGTACTTTTCTGCAAGTGGAAGATTGACAAAACTACATCTTTGACATCAGGTATCATTTATTTTGGAATGCTCATTCAACTGGCAATGTCAAATATTGTAAGATTGCTATTACTCATAAGATAGTCAACTACTGTTTCCTGCTGGAAGTTTGTTAGTTCTTTTTGACTCAACATTCCCACTTCAAACAAATTACTACAACTTCAACAGGTAACACATTTGCATATATGTATGCATAATCTTACAAAACCTGTGTAACTGATCAAATGTCCAAACAATTTTGTCTAAATAATGTACTAAATATGACTAGAATTTTTTTTAATTTAATATTTTAGTAAATTAAAATTTACAAGATAAAAAGTCCTATTTTCTCTCTAATAAAAAACACTTTTAATATAAACAAACATTCTTGATTATGATGGCTATAAAAATAGCCAAAAATATTCATTTATATTAACATTTTTTCAGTTAGTTAACTTTACAATTATTTTTTTTTACTATTAAACTCAACTATTCAAACTTGATCTTGAAATATTTTGAAACTTATTTTTTAAAACAAAAATAAATTCCAAAATGTTCTATAGAGCACAAAAATCAATTTAACTGTCTAACCATTTGCAGAATTCCATTCTCATTGTACAGACACTGCAAAATAATATAAAATATGTTTGGTAAAATGCTATTAAATATCTGTACTACATAAAATAAAAAGTTAAATTAGTGACACAAATTACGATAATTAATCTTTTCCATTATTATGTATGATATGAATTATATGTTTTGTTTCATCCATACAGTATTAACATATTTTTCTTGAATTTCAACAATAAATTTTACCAAAATAGTAGAATGTTTGAAAGTTTTCTTTATGTGAGTGAAATTTGATTCTTTATGAGCAAAACTATTTTTACAAATTAAATATAAAATAAAATGTACAACTGTTCAGGAAAACTATTTATTAATATAGTCAAATTTAAAATTTCTCTATTGATACCATTACTACAGATTATGTAACTGTCATTTGTCTTCAATGAATTAAAATAATTGAATGCAAGTTTGAATTCAAAAGTTAAATTATACAATTCATTAAAATTTATTGATTATTATTAAATGAGAAAAATCAGCATTGAATAATATATTCTTTAACTAGCTTGTCTAAAAATAATATCTTGTTTAAGCAAAAAGAATTTCTTGTTTTTAAATGACAGTACAAAATTGAAGCTGAAACAGAATTTTTAATGCTTGATTGTTTAACTAATGATATAATTATTAGAGAGGTTGTGGTGCAAGTTTTCATCGTTTTCATCTCTAAAACATGAACGTAGAACCAGTGGAGTAGTGTAGTGGGGCAGCAGGGAAGGCCCACCCCGGGCGGCACTTTTTAGGGGGCAGCAAAATTTCACAATAAATGATAATAATATCTTGTAAAAGTTTGAACTATTTCATTTCATATTTTCGTGGCACCTACAATTCAGACCAATTGAAATGAGCACGGAACAGTGTTACCGTCTGGACAGCCCGGGAATCGACTCACCATCCAGGTGAACTATTAATTTAATTTTACCCGGAGATACCATGCGCGACCTGTCAACCTTTTTTTTTTCACTTGTAGGATTCATTCATATTCATATACACCTCCAATCAGTAGCATTGCGTGGGTATCAGCCACCCGAGGCGGAGGAAAATTTTGCAGCGATTTTAAAAAGGTGGCAACACTAGCATGGAATTTTTCATTACTTATTCTGTGACAAAACTGAATTTTAGTCTTTTAAATTGAGATACCTAAATAAGGGGACGGAGAAATTTTCCTTTGCCCCGGGCAGCTGACACCCACGCTACGCCACTGCATAGAACGCTGAGTGCTGTCATCTTGTAAGACTAGAAGTTTGACAATGGCATTTGGAACATCATTGGAATCATGCTCGATGTTCCAAATGCCATTGTCAAACTTCTAGTCTTACAAGATGGCAGCACTCAATGTGAACGTTCAATGTTCACGTTTTAGAGATGAAAACTTAGGCTGCAACCTCTCTATTACTTATGTATCAGATAATCAAAAGATTTATAATACAAATATCTAATTAAAAGCTCCTAATCTTGACCATTGACATTCTCAAAACTAAAAGTAACTTATTATGTGTCTATAAATGATCCTATAATACTTAGCCAAATTTGTCAAAATATGTATAAGTTATGTGTATTTTTCTGCAATATTTTGAAATCTGTATACTAAAATATCAATCAATATGAAATGTTCACATTATCATTTCAGAATATGAAGTATCGACTCAAAACAATTCATATTAAATATCAGTTGGCAATATTTCAAATTATGTCAACTGATATTTAGTACAAATGGCTTTAAATGGATATTTCAGATCATGAAATCACACGAACATTTCTTATCAATTGATTTCGTTTGACTCTCAAGTGACACCTATTAACGTTAATTGATACAAACTGTTCATCTATTTCATATGATAATAAATGTCATAATTTAACATTCATTCATTAAATGATTATAATTGTGCTATTTCAAATGATATCAAATGACTTTTTACTAGGATAGGCTAATTTTCAATTAATCTGTAAAATTTATCTAATTAGCTAGCAGTTTATAAAATTGATAATGAGATTATAGTAAGATTAATTTAATCAAGTACAGTACATGTTAATATTATTGTAGAATTGCAATTCACAATATTTAGTAGAAGAATAAAAATTCTTGAGAAATCAATACTTTAACGTAAGAAAGTAAGGTTGTTAATTAAATTTTACCAAATAAAGTCACTTCAAATTTTGCTTTATTTTATATTAGATTTCAAATTTTATGAATTATATCAGTTTTACATCTATGATCTTATAATTTTCAGGAATTTAATTAGCATTTTTATAACTTAGTTGAATTTATATTATATATAAATATCTATATGAAGTTTATTTTACTTACCATAACAGTGAAGCGATAAATAGGTTTACTCTCACGATCAATTATTCCTCTTGCAAACAATTCTCCTGTCTGAACATCAACAGAAAATGGAAAATCTGACACAAAAAAATTCTTGATGAACATTTTGAAATATATTTTAAAAATTTATGTCCTTTAATAAAGCCTAATTTAGAAAACTAAAATATAAAATAAGTATACCTTTATCAATGGTTTTAACTATTGTATAGTCAACTAATCCATTTTTGCCTGTATCTTGATCAACCGCATGCAGAACACCAAGTTGAAGACGTTTACCAGTATAATTTCCTTCTTTGACAGTAAAAGTATATTCCGATTTCACAAAAGTTGGATGATGATCATTTACATCAACAATGGTTATGTTTACTTTAGTGAAAGATGCTAAACCATGCCCATCTACTGCAGTAATATTTAAAAGTATTGCAGAACTTGGTTTTAGTTTGCTGACAACATACAGTTCACCTAAAGATACACAATTGTTATTTTGAAAAAACATTTACTAAATAAACTAAGAGCATCATTTAAAAATTTGCAAATTTCTGAACAACATGCATTTATAATTAATTCCTTCCAGCCATTTTGTGTTTAATTAAGTGTCTTTTGAAATTTGTACAACACAACATCCACAGATAAAGCTTCAAATTGTATAAAATTCACATAAAAATATCTCCCAAGACTAATTCATTGCACTTTCATACTCGTTTATTAACCAGATTCAATAGAAATTTTTATCGGTTAATCACAAGCAAATAGAAAATTTTCTTACAATTAAACCGAAATATGTAATGCATATTTTCTTCTCTTAAAAATAATACAAATTAATAGATTTCATTTAATAAATTATTAATATTTTTTATAATTTTAAAAATGTTTTTATGTTAGATTAGATCATTCTCTTACAAATCTCTTAAGTACAGAATAGAACAGTGTTTCCCAACCTTTTTTGTGCTATGCCCCCTAAGCCTTTCTAAAATTCTTATGCCCCCTAGCATATACAGCAGCTATATGGTTAACTTAAACTCTGGACGAGTCCATTTTCAAATTGCCCCACTTAACAATCCAATTGGCCCCATGTTGGCAAACACTGGTGTAGAATGTTGATAATGCATGATAATGTGAAAAATGTATCTGTAATCTCTATGTATAATTTAGTCTCTATGGGGTGACACCACAATGAGATTTTGCACCACCTCAAAATCTTCCTAGGGCAGCCTCTGGTTCAGCCCGTGAAAAAAGTTTTCTTTCCAATTTGGCCCTGGGCAAACACTATTGGCCACCCCTGGGCTAGTACATGGTATACAACATTAAAAAATCAGGTTAGAGTTTTTAATTCCTTTGTGGCATGAGGCAGTGGTGGCAAAAATTTTGTAGACAAAGGAAATAAAAAAATGAAATATAATTTATTTATACATATTCATTTGAAATTGAAATACAATAGAATTGTGTATTTATAACAAAGAGAAATGAACAACTTAAATATTTAATCACTAAAATTTTAGACTGCCATGATCAGAAATAGATCCTGACCATGGCAACCTAAAATGATAAGTATTAGAGAAAAACTGAGTAAATATACTATAAATGAACCCTAAGGCAATTCAGGATACTATAAAGCTGTGAACATGACCTCATGAGAATATCTGCAGCTGCCAAAATCTACATGTTTGATTTTAAATCAGTTTTGGAAAGAGATGTTACCCTATCTACATTTTGATAATATGTAAATAACTAGCAGAAAATACACTAGGTATCTCCATAAATGTGGATAATAAACACTTAATGTGATACTTGTGATAAACACTTAACTGAAGAATAAAAAGCTTTCAAAACAACAAGTTTTTAGATGCATGAACGTAACTTATGCTACCACTATGTGTCTGAATACAAATCATAAATGATATGACAATGCTACCAACCTTTTATTTTTTACAATATTTCATGACTGGCTTTTCTCCAATCTTCCCTAATAATTAAACTATTGCCTTGAACAGATAGATGCAAAATGTTTTTAATAAAAAAAAAAGTATTTTCTGATTGCTTGATTAATCATACAAGGTACAGTACCAGCATATTAAGGATATATGGTTGGTAACATTTTCATCCTATACAAACTGGATAAATACTTTCTAAAAAGTAAAAATTCTACAGAACATTTTAGAAAACCAGTTAGAATTAATTTCTGAATAAATTTAACTTATATTCAACAAATAATAATACTAATAGAAAAATTAATTTAAATCCTAATATTCAAATTGATATCTTCAACAATGATTTACTACAAACAATACAATACAATCTTTAATGCCAATGCTGTTAACATTAGCATTAAATAACATTCATTTTTTTAAAATAAAATAATAAGATTACAATTTACTTTGAACATAACATTAAAACGATTTATTAATTTAATATTCCCATTATAAAAATATATGAATCTGACTTTAATAATAAAAGTATTTAAATAAAATTGTAAATTATTACCAGTTTGTCGGTCTACTCGAACTTCTCCTTTATCACCAGAAGTGATAAAATATTCAACTTTACTATTAGGTCCTTTACCATCAGCATCTAGTGCTCTCACTTCTGCTATTTTTGAACCTGGACGAGCTGTTTCTGGTAATAATATACGAAGAGGACCGTGTTGGAAAACTGGAACATTATCATTTTCGTCTTCTATATTTATAGTAAGTTGAGTCGATGAACTGAGATTTCCCAAATCAGTAGCTGTAACCTAATTTAAAAATACCAATAGTAAAATTATGAATATCATCCATAGAATACATTAAAACTTTTGTATAATATAAAACTAATACCTTTAGATTATAAACTTCTTGACGTTCTCTATCTAAAACTCCAAGGGGATCTGAACTAGTATAAACCACAATACCATTCTCCAGAATAGAAAATAAATCACTTCCTTTTCCACTTAAAGAATAACGAATAATAGAATTATTTCCACTATCTTTATCAATTGCTTGTATTGCTGGATCCTGCAAATTAGAGAATCTTATTATAAAACTCTGACAAAAAATTTGATTCATTATATATAAATATTTTAAAAACTTACAATAACAACTGCGGTTCCTGGTGGAGAATTTTCTTTAATTTTTCCTTCATATGAGTGTTTAAATGTTGGTATTTCATCATTGACGTCCAAAACATCAACAGTAACTTCACAAACACTCTGAAATTAATAAAAAATGAAGCAATTTACATATTTTTTCATTAATAAATTATAAGTGTATTTTATTTTTAAAAAATGAGTTTATAAATTTTATTTAACAACTTCATATAAAAGCTTCACATTATTTGCATGCCTGCCATATTTCAATGTAATATACTGTATTAATGCTTATTTAATAATTAAAAACCATCACTTTTAGTAATTGAATGAACTGGTTTTTCAAGGAATTACTAAAACTTAAATATAAATTCTTGAAACAATAAAGAAATTGTATTTAAAGTATATAATAACTAAGATATAAAAATAAATTTACCACTTTAGTAGATGGTTTTCGTTCTTGCAACATAACAGTGAAAGTATATTGGCTTCGTTTTTCTCTATCTAATCCAACTTTTGTGAAAATATAACCATCCTAAATTAAATAATTAAGTGGAACATTATAATATTGTACATTAATTAAATTAAAATTATTAAAAGAGAAACTGTAAAGAAACATTATATATATATATATATTTGTTAAATTACCTTTGTAATATTAAAGAGTCTCCTTAAATCAACATTAACTATGCTATACTTTGTCTGACTAAAAAGTCTCTGCATTCTTGCTTGTAATTCGACTTGTCCTACTTTAGCACCAACAATATTCTCAAGCACAGAAAATCTGTACTGTAGTTGATGGAAACGTGGATCTCTTTCTTCAGCTTCTTGCACAAAAATATTTAATTGTGTCTAAAATATATATCATAAATTATATACTATGCTATTAATAACTAATTTATTATTTTTACAACAAAATATCAGTACCTCACTTGTCCATAGTCCATCAAAAGCTTCCACTGTTATAGCATACTCTCTACTTTCTGATATATCTAATTGTCGAGTAACATTCACTAATCCAGATTTAGGATCAATACTGAATGGAACTAATGAAAAAAATATTTTAAATAATAATAATATTTTTATTAAAATTAAAATTAAATTATAATATACCATTTCCAGTATCAGGTGCAAATGAATATTTCATATCTGTGTTGTAATCAGCATCTGCATCTTTAGCAACCATTGTTGTTATAATTGCTCCAACAGGTACATTTTCAGAAATAAATTTATAATATATTTCTTTGTCAAAAACTGGAGGACTATCATTAATATCATGTATAACAACAGCTACCTAGAAATTATTAAGAAAGAATTTACTGTATTATAACTGTTTTTCTAATTAAAACTATAGAAAATCTTATTTTCAAAAATATTTATTTACTGTTGTTGTCCCAGTTAGAGGTGGTATTCCTCTATCCTTAGCAGCAATTAATACTAAACGAAGTGCTGTATCAGTAACACCAAACTGCTCTCTATCCAATTCTTTAATAACTGTTAAAACTGCCTAAAATATTACATAATTTTCATAAATATATTAGTATAAAATACGTAGTTATAATTTATGCCATTGTATACATATACATATATATATATATAGCTTACTCCTTTCTCATATGGTTCTAATTTAAATAATTTTTCACTATTTCCTTCTTCAATGAAAATGTCCATTTCACTGTTTAATCCTTCATCTTTATCAACTACAGGAAGATACATTTTTGTACCAATACTTGCTGTTCCTGTAAGAAAATTTAAATCATATTTGTCATTTAATTTTAAAAAAATAAATGGAAAATAATTTATAATAATTTGTTATAAATTTAGTTTTTAAGAGAACTAGATATTGAATTTATTAATTAATTTAACATATTAATTCAACATATAGTTCTCTTAAAACTAAATTTTGATTAAAAATATAAAAATTACATGAGCAAAAATTTATTTAAAATATTTATTTATAAGAGATCAGAGTGATAAGTTCTTGCCCTGGCCTACTCAGTAGTATATTTGGCAGAAGCAGATGAAGCAGCATGATAAAGGTATTATCAAAGATTTAATCTATTGAAAATGAAAAAAGTTGTATTGTTTTTGTGCAGGAAAAATTGCAAAGACAGAATGGTAGAAAGCAATGTCCAATTTAACAAAACAGAACTGGCATACACCACTCAGAAAACAGTGACTGAAAACTGAAGTTTAAATAGGTCCAACATTCATCCTATTTCACTGACTTAGCTTCCCCATTTGATAAAACATCTGTAAAGAAGACAAGCAACTATGAAGGAATAGTTTTAGGTCCAAAGTTCCAAATATTTTCAGTGGGGTAAAAACTTTGGAATGTCACCATAGGAAATGCATTTGAGACCAAAGGGGAATTATATAAAATAATATAGTGATCATTCATATACAGTGTTTGCTTCTGTGTTAAGCCAAGAATTTACCAGCATGTCTATGAAATATTTATAAATAATAATAATTTAATATTTTTCAAGAATTTTGTAATTTTTAGAATATATACATGTGCATGTGTATAAAATTAAGATAATTACCTTCTGTGACATTTAATAAATAAGTTTCATTTGAAAAAGTTGGAGTCCAATCATTTTCATCTAGTATATTAATCTGAACATCTGCAAAGCCCTGAAAAATTTTTAAAAATTGAAATTTTAGAATTCTAATAGATAATAATTTTAAATTTAAAGTTTCAAATAGACTGAATAATTAGTTACGGTATTATTGGCAGAATCTATAGCTAATACTCTCAGCATAAATTTTGGAATGGTTTCTCGATCAGGAGGAACTTTAACTGATAAAACACCAGTACTACCTTCAATACGAAAATCTTGTCCTCCATTTCCTATATTACAAATTATTCTTAATCAATATCATATGAAATTTTATCATTTTTAAATATTTATTGACAATATTACCATCTACAATAAAGTATCGAAGCCTTTTATCTAATTCATCCCTATCAGTTGCAGTTAACTGTGCAACAACATGGCCAGCTTGAGAATTCTAAACAAGTATAAAATATTTAATATTTAGTAATTGTTTAAAACACATAACAAAAAAAAAAGTATATAATGAGAATTTTTATATAATTTTTTCAAATTTATAAAAAACCCACCTCTTTTAAATCAATAACAAATAGACTTTTTTCAAAAACTGGACTGTTATCATTGACATCTTCTACATAAATTCTAACATAAGTACTTCCACTACAACGTTGATTACTCGCTGTTATCTTTAAATATTTCATGAAATGTAATTTACAGTTTAATTCTACAATAACAAAAAACAAATTAAACTCACTGCTAGAGTATACATTCCGTGTAATGTTGGATTCATTGTATCTCTATCTAATGGTTTCTTAACACGTAATGAAACATTATTTGATCTAATATCCACAAAAAAGTTATCATTTGAGTTATCTTCAGTTATTTGGTATGATAACTGAAATATATAAAGTAAAGAAAGTATTTTATTTAAAATGAAAACTAAAAATAAAAAATTTTTGATTTTATGCAACTTACTTTATCAAATATTGCCATATCTTCAACTAATAAAGTAGGCAAAACAACCATATCTGGTGGTGCTGTTTCTTTAATTGAAGTAAAGTATTCTGAGAATGGAAATTTCGGACATCTCAAGCTTTCTGGTTTTATCTTGACAACAACCTAAATTATTCAAAGAAAATAACTTGAGTAAAAATATGTATTATTTAAAATAACTTACATAACATACTTAATTATGTTTATTAATGGTCCTAAAAATTATGATTAATTTACTTATAAATTTCTATATGTTAAATTTTTAATAAACTAAAAACTTATATTATAAAATCTAATATGTAAGTATATAATAATGAAAATATATAATCTGTAATTTAAGAAAAATATATACTTTAATACAGTATATAAATAAATAATACCATGATTTTGTGCAAACCTGCATCCTGCCCCGCAAAAAATTACAAGAACAAAAAAGACAAAACCTTTGTATAATTTAATTGTATTTCATTCAATTTGAACAACACAACAGGAAAGACTTAATATTTTAATTCTGTAACACATCAATATTTTTAGAATTTGTAACTAGTCAATGATTTTAATATTTGTTTGAACTGTTAATGTTCTTTAGTTTTAACTCATGATTGTAATTTAAAATACAATCTCTCTACACACCGGTGTTTAAATAAAATAAAATAAATATAGAATTCGGAAGAGATTCATATCGAATGTTTATTTGAATATTAAAGGCCCATTCCTTATAGCCTGAAGAAGTGCCCAGGAGGGGCGACGAAAACGTTCACAATTCTGCAATTCTAAAAATAGAAGCACTCCGGTTAAAGGTTTGAAGAGTTATTTATTTTATTGTAATTTAAAATCTGAATATAACTTGCTTCATCATATAAACCACAACCCTTTTCAAATTATCTTTCAAGCAAAGATAAAGATAAATTATGGTATATACAGAGTGTCCATAAAGTCCATGTGGAATTTAAAAAATTTATAACTTTAGTATTTGTGATAGAGAAATTATGTAGAATGTATTTAAAATAAGAAAATCTACATTTTTTTATTGTTTTATTGTATTTTATTCAATTGTCAAAAAAGAATGGTCCTATGATTTGATTTTTTCCCAAAGCACACCACGCATTAATTTTAAGAGAGTCTCTTTCATGTTCAACAGTTTCATTTGGGTTATTAGTTTCCCAAATTTGGCAATTATGACCTTGCCACTAATGTGAAATGTTGCTTCATCAATGAACTTTAAACTACTCACAAATGCATCATCATTGCCAAGTTTTTCATTGAACTGATGGAAGAAAGTTAGCCATAAATGATAGTCCTCTTCTAACAATTTTTGATACAATTGAAGAATTACTAAATAATTTTACTTAAAACTGGGTACATTAAGCTTTCTAATATACTTTTTACAGATTTTTTCTATCACAAATACTAATAAAGTTATAAATTTTTAAAATTCCACACAGACTTTATGAACACTGTATAATGCCCAATATATGCATATCAAAAAATATCTAATACTACATATTTGACTTTCCAGACAAAACATTATATATTTATAAATGAGAAGCAAATGAACACAAATTATTTCAGATCATGATAAATGTATAATTAGTTGTACCAAGAGGCAAATTGAAATCAGTACTGTAATTGAAATTTATTAATTAAAAAGGTATTTAATGAATAAATTTTGTTCTTTGTTCATATAATATAACAGAAATAGCAAGAAATATATAAAATAAAATTCACTTTGAAGCAGCATGATAAAGGTATTATCAAAGATTTAATCTATTGAAAATGAAAAAAGTTGTATTGTTTTTGTGCAGGAANGTACCCGTGTCTCTTCTTTTTCTTCAGAGTCCACTCACATCGATGAAAATGAACTACCGTGATCTTCCTTCCTTCCCGTGATGTCTCGCTCTCGTTGTCCTCGAATCGCTCCCTTCTCCTTCGTTACGGCGACCAGGATCTCCTCGCACTGTCCGTCCTCTCCCAACGCTAGCTCCAAAGTCCCCATCACCCCTTCTCTCCTTGCCTCGGGGCCTACTTCCACACCCTTGTTTTTCGTTGTAGTTCTCGGAAATGTTTTACCACCAGCAGGGAAACAGGACCGTTAGAAAGTTCGAGAAAGTGTTAGACAAAAGATCGAGGAAACTTAATCATAGGCTTAATACAAAATACAAATATAAAAAAAAAAAACAACTGGTGTATCACCACATTAATGAAATGTCAATATTAGTATACAAAACAAAAATAAATCAATGATTATATAACTATTGCTTTTTAATACCAAGTTTAATGGTGTTTAATACTTTGTGCTAAGGATGCATATGTTGCAACCAATATTTATTCTATTGTAAGGACGAGGATGTCACACTTACTTGGATCCTTGAGGTATCATTTATGTATTTTATACAGCAGCTTGACTGTGCGATTAGTACATAAACTATTATTTTTGAATCAGTTCAAATGAATCTGATAGTTCTGACAGTATCAAAATTTTGATAAAACTGTGATGCTGATAATATTTCTCAATATAATAAATTGGAGAACATTCAAAAGATTGAAATAAGCAGGGAATCTTAGGTAAATTTAAAATATATTAAGCAATTTTATATGATTGAAATGCTTACTGAAGTCATTAGGTGTAGAATAATAATCAGTGCCAATGAGATCTATGCGTATTCACCTAGATCTGATTGGTGCTGTATGCACTAAACTGAATAAAAAATTTGATCACATACTTTTAATATGTATTCATATTGCCTAAAATCAGACAAAATACTTTTGAAACTAACTGTAATAGAATAAGAGTTTTAATTAGAGCTGAAAAATTAATGGTTATAATAAATATTTATTTGTTGTATGTTTAATGAAATACTTAATGGCTGAAATTATCATTGCTAATTAGTAATTAGGAAGTAAGTTAACTAGATTAGTATCAATAAATTATGATTTCTTACTATTCAGAATATATGTAAATTCTCCTTCTCCTGCATCAAGTGTAAAAACAATGTCACCAGGTTGTCTATTTTCAGCAACTTCTAATGTATATACCGATTTTGCAAATTCAGGAATTGCATCATTTGTATCTATAACTGTCACCCATAACTTGGCAGTAGAAGATAAACTAGGAACACCTTGATCATAAGCTATAACTGACATATTGTAGAAAGGCTTCTTTTCATAATCCAGTTTCGCAAGAGTCCAAATAGTTCCATCTAGAAAATAATTATTTTAATAATCATTAATATATTTAAATCATTTATATCATAAAAGTAAAATTTTAATACCTTTACTGTCAATATAAAATTTATTTTCATGGCCATCTCCTAATTTATAAAAGACTTGTCCATTCAAGTTAGAATCCGAGTCATATGCTGTGATGCGTGTAACCTTAATATGTAAAAATTATTATTTTAATATAGGATTAATTTTTTAATCGTTATATGATTATTTTGAAAATTCATTACTTCTTGTCCAGGATCTAAATTTTCAAATACTTGTGCCAAATAAGGATCAGTAAAAAATCGTGGACTTTCATCATTGACATCCTGTACTTCTATGGTTACATTGATGGTAGAGTTTTGTGGAGGTTCACCGTAATCTAATGCCTGTTAATTGCATTTAATTTTAAGAAATAATTAAATTATTGCATTTAGATATTAAAAGTTAAATATATCTTTTAAATTAATAATTAAATTTGGCACATAAATTAAAAGAGAGGATTTATTTCTCAGAGAATCTAAGTATTATGAATTTTATTTTTGCCATTATATTAAATCAAAATAATTTAGTATTTTCTACTTTAATAATTATCTCAGTATGTAAACATAAAATTAACTAATGAATTTTAAAAAATTCATTTCTATTATATCAGTAATAGTGTACATTTGAAAATAATTATTCAAAAGTGTGATAAACTTCAAACAACTGCAAATTATGTATTAAACTAGTCCACATTAAATTGTTAAATATACATTGTATAGACAAAATTGTTCAAACACCTAAATGCAAAGTAACATTTTTATTTATTTCAAAATTTAGTGTCTTGTTGGACCACCTCATGTTGGTGCAACTCATCTAGACATGAATTCCTGAAGTTTCCCTTAAATTTTGGCTGAAATTTTTCACCATTCCTCCTTCATTTCCACTGCAAGATCTGACTGGGAGAAAGGGCATTGTGATTGAAATCAGATTTGGTATTCCAGCTTGTCCCAAAAGTATTCTATAAGAAGCAAATCTGGACTTTGAGTTGGCCAGTCCAACTTTTAAACTTCATTCTCATCAAACCAGTCATGTAAAAGCCATGAAGTATGGTATGGTGCATTATCACACAGAAACATCAACTGTTTGTTTCTCAATTCTGGTTTTTTTGGTGCTAACATGTGTTCCTAGAGATGTTCCTAGAGCTGTTTCTATCACACAAGAAAGAGCTTGTGTGATAGTAGTTGTGCATGATTTCAGAACACTTCTCACTAGGTTTTTTCAGTCATGGTTAGACTGTTTGTGAGGTCTTCAATGTACTGTACTTTTCTGCAAGTGGAAGATTGACAAAACTACATCTTTGACATCAGGTATCATTTATTTTGGAATGCTCATTCAACTGGCAATGTCAAATATTGTAAGATTGCTATTACTCATAAGATAGTCAACTACTGTTTCCTGCTGGAAGTTTGTTAGTTCTTTTTGACTCAACATTCCCACTTCAAACAAATTACTACAACTTCAACAGGTAACACATTTGCATATATGTATGCATAATCTTACAAAACCTGTGTAACTGATCAAATGTCCAAACAATTTTGTCTAAATAATGTACTAAATATGACTAGAATTTTTTTTAATTTAATATTTTAGTAAATTAAAATTTACAAGATAAAAAGTCCTATTTTCTCTCTAATAAAAAACACTTTTAATATAAACAAACATTCTTGATTATGATGGCTATAAAAATAGCCAAAAATATTCATTTATATTAACATTTTTTCAGTTAGTTAACTTTACAATTATTTTTTTTTACTATTAAACTCAACTATTCAAACTTGATCTTGAAATATTTTGAAACTTATTTTTTAAAACAAAAATAAATTCCAAAATGTTCTATAGAGCACAAAAATCAATTTAACTGTCTAACCATTTGCAGAATTCCATTCTCATTGTACAGACACTGCAAAATAATATAAAATATGTTTGGTAAAATGCTATTAAATATCTGTACTACATAAAATAAAAAGTTAAATTAGTGACACAAATTACGATAATTAATCTTTTCCATTATTATGTATGATATGAATTATATGTTTTGTTTCATCCATACAGTATTAACATATTTTTCTTGAATTTCAACAATAAATTTTACCAAAATAGTAGAATGTTTGAAAGTTTTCTTTATGTGAGTGAAATTTGATTCTTTATGAGCAAAACTATTTTTACAAATTAAATATAAAATAAAATGTACAACTGTTCAGGAAAACTATTTATTAATATAGTCAAATTTAAAATTTCTCTATTGATACCATTACTACAGATTATGTAACTGTCATTTGTCTTCAATGAATTAAAATAATTGAATGCAAGTTTGAATTCAAAAGTTAAATTATACAATTCATTAAAATTTATTGATTATTATTAAATGAGAAAAATCAGCATTGAATAATATATTCTTTAACTAGCTTGTCTAAAAATAATATCTTGTTTAAGCAAAAAGAATTTCTTGTTTTTAAATGACAGTACAAAATTGAAGCTGAAACAGAATTTTTAATGCTTGATTGTTTAACTAATGATATAATTATTAGAGAGGTTGTGGTGCAAGTTTTCATCGTTTTCATCTCTAAAACATGAACGTAGAACCAGTGGAGTAGTGTAGTGGGGCAGCAGGGAAGGCCCACCCCGGGCGGCACTTTTTAGGGGGCAGCAAAATTTCACAATAAATGATAATAATATCTTGTAAAAGTTTGAACTATTTCATTTCATATTTTCGTGGCACCTACAATTCAGACCAATTGAAATGAGCACGGAACAGTGTTACCGTCTGGACAGCCCGGGAATCGACTCACCATCCAGGTGAACTATTAATTTAATTTTACCCGGAGATACCATGCGCGACCTGTCAACCTTTTTTTTTTCACTTGTAGGATTCATTCATATTCATATACACCTCCAATCAGTAGCATAGCGTGGGTATCAGCCACCCGAGGCGGAGGAAAATTTTGCAGCGATTTTAAAAAGGTGGCAACACTAGCATGGAATTTTTCATTACTTATTCTGTGACAAAACTGAATTTTAGTCTTTTAAATTGAGATACCTAAATAAGGGGACGGAGAAATTTTCCTTTGCCCCGGGCAGCTGACACCCACGCTACGCCACTGCATAGAACGCTGAGTGCTGTCATCTTGTAAGACTAGAAGTTTGACAATGGCATTTGGAACATCATTGGAATCATGCTCGATGTTCCAAATGCCATTGTCAAACTTCTAGTCTTACAAGATGGCAGCACTCAATGTGAACGTTCAATGTTCACGTTTTAGAGATGAAAACTTAGGCTGCAACCTCTCTATTACTTATGTATCAGATAATCAAAAGATTTATAATACAAATATCTAATTAAAAGCTCCTAATCTTGACCATTGACATTCTCAAAACTAAAAGTAACTTATTATGTGTCTATAAATGATCCTATAATACTTAGCCAAATTTGTCAAAATATGTATAAGTTATGTGTATTTTTCTGCAATATTTTGAAATCTGTATACTAAAATATCAATCAATATGAAATGTTCACATTATCATTTCAGAATATGAAGTATCGACTCAAAACAATTCATATTAAATATCAGTTGGCAATATTTCAAATTATGTCAACTGATATTTAGTACAAATGGCTTTAAATGGATATTTCAGATCATGAAATCACACGAACATTTCTTATCAATTGATTTCGTTTGACTCTCAAGTGACACCTATTAACGTTAATTGATACAAACTGTTCATCTATTTCATATGATAATAAATGTCATAATTTAACATTCATTCATTAAATGATTATAATTGTGCTATTTCAAATGATATCAAATGACTTTTTACTAGGATAGGCTAATTTTCAATTAATCTGTAAAATTTATCTAATTAGCTAGCAGTTTATAAAATTGATAATGAGATTATAGTAAGATTAATTTAATCAAGTACAGTACATGTTAATATTATTGTAGAATTGCAATTCACAATATTTAGTAGAAGAATAAAAATTCTTGAGAAATCAATACTTTAACGTAAGAAAGTAAGGTTGTTAATTAAATTTTACCAAATAAAGTCACTTCAAATTTTGCTTTATTTTATATTAGATTTCAAATTTTATGAATTATATCAGTTTTACATCTATGATCTTATAATTTTCAGGAATTTAATTAGCATTTTTATAACTTAGTTGAATTTATATTATATATAAATATCTATATGAAGTTTATTTTACTTACCATAACAGTGAAGCGATAAATAGGTTTACTCTCACGATCAATTATTCCTCTTGCAAACAATTCTCCTGTCTGAACATCAACAGAAAATGGAAAATCTGACACAAAAAAATTCTTGATGAACATTTTGAAATATATTTTAAAAATTTATGTCCTTTAATAAAGCCTAATTTAGAAAACTAAAATATAAAATAAGTATACCTTTATCAATGGTTTTAACTATTGTATAGTCAACTAATCCATTTTTGCCTGTATCTTGATCAACCGCATGCAGAACACCAAGTTGAAGACGTTTACCAGTATAATTTCCTTCTTTGACAGTAAAAGTATATTCCGATTTCACAAAAGTTGGATGATGATCATTTACATCAACAATGGTTATGTTTACTTTAGTGAAAGATGCTAAACCATGCCCATCTACTGCAGTAATATTTAAAAGTATTGCAGAACTTGGTTTTAGTTTGCTGACAACATACAGTTCACCTAAAGATACACAATTGTTATTTTGAAAAAACATTTACTAAATAAACTAAGAGCATCATTTAAAAATTTGCAAATTTCTGAACATGCATTCATAATTAATTCCTTCCAGCCATTTTGTGTTTAATTAAGTGTCTTTTGAAATTTGTACAACACAACATCCACAGATAAAGCTTCAAATTGTATAAAATTCACATAAAAATATCTCCCAAGACTAATTCATTGCACTTTCATACTCGTTTATTAACCAGATTCAATAGAAATTTTTATCGGTTAATCACAAGCAAATAGAAAATTTTCTTACAATTAAACCGAAATATGTAATGCATATTTTCTTCTCTTAAAAATAATACAAATTAATAGATTTCATTTAATAAATTATTAATATTTTTTATAATTTTAAAAATGTTTTTATGTTAGATTAGATCATTCTCTTACAAATCTCTTAAGTACAGAATAGAACAGTGTTTCCCAACCTTTTTTGTGCTATGCCCCCTAAGCCTTTCTAAAATTCTTATGCCCCCTAGCATATACAGCAGCTATATGGTTAACTTAAACTCTGGACGAGTCCATTTTCAAATTGCCCCACTTAACAATCCAATTGGCCCCATGTTGGCAAACACTGGTGTAGAATGTTGATAATGCATGATAATGTGAAAAATGTATCTGTAATCTCTATGTATAATTTAGTCTCTATGGGGTGACACCACAATGAGATTTTGCACCACCTCAAAATCTTCCTAGGGCAGCCTCTGGTTCAGCCCTCTGGTTCAGCCCGTGAAAAAAGTTTTCTTTCCAATTTGGCCCTGGGCAAACACTATTGGCCACCCCTGGGCTAGTACATGGTATACAACATTAAAAAATCAGGTTAGAGTTTTTAATTCCTTTGTGGCATGAGGCAGTGGTGGCAAAAATTTTGTAGACAAAGGAAATAAAAAAATGAAATATAATTTATTTATACATATTCATTTGAAATTGAAATACAATAGAATTGTGTATTTATAACAAAGAGAAATGAACAACTTAAATATTTAATCACTAAAATTTTAGACTGCCATGATCAGAAATAGATCCTGACCATGGCAACCTAAAATGATAAGTATTAGAGAAAAACTGAGTAAATATACTATAAATGAACCCTAAGGCAATTCAGGATACTATAAAGCTGTGAACATGACCTCATGAGAATATCTGCAGCTGCCCAAATCTACATGTTTGATTTTAAATCAGTTTTGGAAAGAGATGTTACCCTATCTACATTTTGATAATATGTAAATAACTAGCAGAAAATACACTAGGTATCTCCATAAATGTGGATAATAAACACTTAATGTGATACTTGTGATAAACACTTAACTGAAGAATAAAAAGCTTTCAAAACAACAAGTTTTTAGATGCATGAACGTAACTTATGCTACCACTATGTGTCTGAATACAAATCATAAATGATATGACAATGCTACCAACCTTTTATTTTTTACAATATTTCATGACTGGCTTTTCTCCAATCTTCCCTAATAATTAAACTATTGCCTTGAACAGATAGATGCAAAATGTTTTTAATAAAAAAAAAAGTATTTTCTGATTGCTTGATTAGTCATACAAGGTACAGTACCAGCATATTAAGGATATATGGTTGGTAACATTTTCATCCTATACAAACTGGATAAATACTTTCTAAAAAGTAAAAATTCTACAGAACATTTTAGAAAACCAGTTAGAATTAATTTCTGAATAAATTTAACTTATATTCAACAAATAATAATACTAATAGAAAAATTAATTTAAATCCTAATATTCAAATTGATATCTTCAACAATGATTTACTACAAACAATACAATACAATCTTTAATGCCAATGCTGTTAACATTAGCATTAAATAACATTCATTTTTTTAAAATAAAATAATAAGATTACAATTTACTTTGAACATAACATCAAAACGATTTATTAATTTAATATTCCCATTATAAAAATATATGAATCTGACTTTAATAATAAAAGTATTTAAATAAAATTGTAAATTATTACCAGTTTGTCGGTCTACTCGAACTTCTCCTTTATCACCAGAAGTGATAAAATATTCAACTTTACTATTAGGTCCTTTACCATCAGCATCTAGTGCTCTCACTTCTGCTATTTTTGAACCTGGACGAGCTGTTTCTGGTAATAATATACGAAGAGGACCGTGTTGGAAAACTGGAACATTATCATTTTCGTCTTCTATATTTATAGTAAGTTGAGTCGATGAACTGAGATTTCCCAAATCAGTAGCTGTAACCTAATTTAAAAATACCAATAGTAAAATTATGAATATCATCCATAGAATACATTAAAACTTTTGTATAATATAAAACTAATACCTTTAGATTATAAACTTCTTGACGTTCTCTATCTAAAACTCCAAGGGGATCTGAACTAGTATAAACCACAATACCATTCTCCAGAATAGAAAATAAATCACTTCCTTTTCCACTTAAAGAATAACGAATAATAGAATTATTTCCACTATCTTTATCAATTGCTTGTATTGCTGGATCCTGCAAATTAGAGAATCTTATTATAAAACTCTGACAAAAAATTTGATTCATTATATATAAATATTTTAAAAACTTACAATAACAACTGCGGTTCCTGGTGGAGAATTTTCTTTAATTTTTCCTTCATATGAGTGTTTAAATGTTGGTATTTCATCATTGACGTCCAAAACATCAACAGTAACTTCACAAACACTCTGAAATTAATAAAAAATGAAGCAATTTACATATTTTTTCATTAATAAATTATAAGTGTATTTTATTTTTAAAAAATGAGTTTATAAATTTTATTTAACAACTTCATATAAAAGCTTCACATTATTTGCATGCCTGCCATATTTCAATGTAATATACTGTATTAATGCTTATTTAATAATTAAAAACCATCACTTTTAGTAATTGAATGAACTGGTTTTTCAAGGAATTACTAAAACTTAAATATAAATTCTTGAAACAATAAAGAAATTGTATTTAAAGTATATAATAACTAAGATATAAAAATAAATTTACCACTTTAGTAGATGGTTTTCGTTCTTGCAACATAACAGTGAAAGTATATTGGCTTCGTTTTTCTCTATCTAATCCAACTTTTGTGAAAATATAACCATCCTAAATTAAATAATTAAGTGGAACATTATAATATTGTACATTAATTAAATTAAAATTATTAAAAGAGAAACTGTAAAGAAACATTATATATATATATATATTTGTTAAATTACCTTTGTAATATTAAAGAGTCTCCTTAAATCAACATTAACTATGCTATACTTTGTCTGACTAAAAAGTCTCTGCATTCTTGCTTGTAATTCGACTTGTCCTACTTTAGCACCAACAATATTCTCAAGCACAGAAAATCTGTACTGTAGTTGATGGAAACGTGGATCTCTTTCTTCAGCTTCTTGCACAAAAATATTTAATTGTGTCTAAAATATATATCATAAATTATATACTATGCTATTAATAACTAATTTATTATTTTTACAACAAAATATCAGTACCTCACTTGTCCATAGTCCATCAAAAGCTTCCACTGTTATAGCATACTCTCTACTTTCTGATATATCTAATTGTCGAGTAACATTCACTAATCCAGATTTAGGATCAATACTGAATGGAACTAATGAAAAAAATATTTTAAATAATAATAATATTTTTATTAAAATTAAAATTAAATTATAATATACCATTTCCAGTATCAGGTGCAAATGAATATTTCATATCTGTGTTGTAATCAGCATCTGCATCTTTAGCAACCATTGTTGTTATAATTGCTCCAACAGGTACATTTTCAGAAATAAATTTATAATATATTTCTTTGTCAAAAACTGGAGGACTATCATTAATATCATGTATAACAACAGCTACCTAGAAATTATTAAGAAAGAATTTACTGTATTATAACTGTTTTTCTAATTAAAACTATAGAAAATCTTATTTTCAAAAATATTTATTTACTGTTGTTGTCCCAGTTAGAGGTGGTATTCCTCTATCCTTAGCAGCAATTAATACTAAACGAAGTGCTGTATCAGTAACACCAAACTGCTCTCTATCCAATTCTTTAATAACTGTTAAAACTGCCTAAAATATTACATAATTTTCATAAATATATTAGTATAAAATACGTAGTTATAATTTATGCCATTGTATACATATACATATATATATATATAGCTTACTCCTTTCTCATATGGTTCTAATTTAAATAATTTTTCACTATTTCCTTCTTCAATGAAAATGTCCATTTCACTGTTTAATCCTTCATCTTTATCAACTACAGGAAGATACATTTTTGTACCAATACTTGCTGTTCCTGTAAGAAAATTTAAATCATATTTGTCATTTAATTTTAAAAAAATAAATGGAAAATAATTTATAATAATTTGTTATAAATTTAGTTTTTAAGAGAACTAGATATTGAATTTATTAATTAATTTAACATATTAATTCAACATATAGTTCTCTTAAAACTAAATTTTGATTAAAAATATAAAAATTACATGAGCAAAAATTTATTTAAAATATTTATTTATAAGAGATCAGAGTGATAAGTTCTTGCCCTGGCCTACTCAGTAGTATATTTGGCAGAAGCAGATGAAGCAGCATGATAAAGGTATTATCAAAGATTTAATCTATTGAAAATGAAAAAAGTTGTATTGTTTTTGTGCAGGAAAAATTGCAAAGACAGAATGGTAGAAAGCAATGTCCAATTTAACAAAACAGAACTGGCATACACCACTCAGAAAACAGTGACTGAAAACTGAAGTTTAAATAGGTCCAACATTCATCCTATTTCACTGACTTAGCTTCCCCATTTGATAAAACATCTGTAAAGAAGACAAGCAACTATGAAGGAATAGTTTTAGGTCCAAAGTTCCAAATATTTTCAGTGGGGTAAAAACTTTGGAATGTCACCATAGGAAATGCATTTGAGACCAAAGGGGAATTATATAAAATAATATAGTGATCATTCATATACAGTGTTTGCTTCTGTGTTAAGCCAAGAATTTACCAGCATGTCTATGAAATATTTATAAATAATAATAATTTAATATTTTTCAAGAATTTTGTAATTTTTAGAATATATACATGTGCATGTGTATAAAATTAAGATAATTACCTTCTGTGACATTTAATAAATAAGTTTCATTTGAAAAAGTTGGAGTCCAATCATTTTCATCTAGTATATTAATCTGAACATCTGCAAAGCCCTGAAAAATTTTTAAAAATTGAAATTTTAGAATTCTAATAGATAATAATTTTAAATTTAAAGTTTCAAATAGACTGAATAATTAGTTACGGTATTATTGGCAGAATCTATAGCTAATACTCTCAGCATAAATTTTGGAATGGTTTCTCGATCAGGAGGAACTTTAACTGATAAAACACCAGTACTACCTTCAATACGAAAATCTTGTCCTCCATTTCCTATATTACAAATTATTCTTAATCAATATCATATGAAATTTTATCATTTTTAAATATTTATTGACAATATTACCATCTACAATAAAGTATCGAAGCCTTTTATCTAATTCATCCCTATCAGTTGCAGTTAACTGTGCAACAACATGGCCAGCTTGAGAATTCTAAACAAGTATAAAATATTTAATATTTAGTAATTGTTTAAAACACATAACAAAAAAAAAAGTATATAATGAGAATTTTTATATAATTTTTTCAAATTTATAAAAAACCCACCTCTTTTAAATCAATAACAAATAGACTTTTTTCAAAAACTGGACTGTTATCATTGACATCTTCTACATAAATTCTAACATAAGTACTTCCACTACAACGTTGATTACTCGCTGTTATCTTTAAATATTTCATGAAATGTAATTTACAGTTTAATTCTACAATAACAAAAAACAAATTAAACTCACTGCTAGAGTATACATTCCGTGTAATGTTGGATTCATTGTATCTCTATCTAATGGTTTCTTAACACGTAATGAAACATTATTTGATCTAATATCCACAAAAAAGTTATCATTTGAGTTATCTTCAGTTATTTGGTATGATAACTGAAATATATAAAGTAAAGAAAGTATTTTATTTAAAATGAAAACTAAAAATTAAAAATTTTTGATTTTATGCAACTTACTTTATCAAATATTGCCATATCTTCAACTAATAAAGTAGGCAAAACAACCATATCTGGTGGTGCTGTTTCTTTAATTGAAGTAAAGTATTCTGAGAATGGAAATTTCGGACATCTCAAGCTTTCTGGTTTTATCTTGACAACAACCTAAATTATTCAAAGAAAATAACTTGAGTAAAAATATGTATTATTTAAAATAACTTACATAACATACTTAATTATGTTTATTAATGGTCCTAAAAATTATGATTAATTTACTTATAAATTTCTATATGTTAAATTTTTAATAAACTAAAAACTTATATTATAAAATCTAATATGTAAGTATATAATAATGAAAATATATAATCTGTAATTTAAGAAAAATATATACTTTAATACAGTATATAAATAAATAATACCATGATTTTGTGCAAACCTGCATCCTGCCCCGCAAAAAATTACAAGAACAAAAAAGACAAAACCTTTGTATAATTTAATTGTATTTCATTCAATTTGAACAACACAACAGGAAAGACTTAATATTTTAATTCTGTAACACATCAATATTTTTAGAATTTGTAACTAGTCAATGATTTTAATATTTGTTTGAACTGTTAATGTTCTTTAGTTTTAACTCATGATTGTAATTTAAAATACAATCTCTCTACACACCGGTGTTTAAATAAAATAAAATAAATATAGAATTCGGAAGAGATTCATATCGAATGTTTATTTGAATATTAAAGGCCCATTCCTTATAGCCTGAAGAAGTGCCCAGGAGGGGCGACGAAAACGTTCACAATTCTGCAATTCTAAAAATAGAAGCACTCCGGTTAAAGGTTTGAAGAGTTATTTATTTTATTGTAATTTAAAATCTGAATATAACTTGCTTCATCATATAAACCACAACCCTTTTCAAATTATCTTTCAAGCAAAGATAAAGATAAATTATGGTATATACAGAGTGTCCATAAAGTCCATGTGGAATTTAAAAAATTTATAACTTTAGTATTTGTGATAGAGAAATTATGTAGAATGTATTTAAAATAAGAAAATCTACATTTTTTTATTGTTTTATTGTATTTTATTCAATTGTCAAAAAAGAATGGTCCTATGATTTGATTTTTTCCCAAAGCACACCACGCATTAATTTTAAGAGAGTCTCTTTCATGTTCAACAGTTTCATTTGGGTTATTAGTTTCCCAAATTTGGCAATTATGACCTTGCCACTAATGTGAAATGTTGCTTCATCAATGAACTTTAAACTACTCACAAATGCATCATCATTGCCAAGTTTTTCATTGAACTGATGGAAGAAAGTTAGCCATAAATGATAGTCCTCTTCTAACAATTTTTGATACAATTGAAGAATTACTAAATAATTTTACTTAAAACTGGGTACATTAAGCTTCCTAATACTTTTTACAGATTTTTTCTATCACAAATACTAATAAAGTTATAAATTTTTAAAATTCCACACAGACTTTATGAACACTGTATAATGCCCAATATATGCATATCAAAAAATATCTAATACTACATATTTGACTTTCCAGACAAAACATTATATATTTATAAATGAGAAGCAAATGAACACAAATTATTTCAGATCATGATAAATGTATAATTAGTTGTACCAAGAGGCAAATTGAAATCAGTACTGTAATTGAAATTTATTAATTAAAAAGGTATTTAATGAATAAATTTTGTTCTTTGTTCATATAATATAACAGAAATAGCAAGAAATATATAAAATAAAATTCACTTATACATAATTCACTTGTGTTAACTAATGCATATACAGTAATACAAAATTTTACAATAAACTATTATATTCTAGTTATATGTTATTTATAATTAAAGAGAAGAATTAGAATAATTATTCATAAATTTAAAAATTCTGTACTATTTCTGATGGCATTTTAGAACAAAGTTTTGATTCATGATACAATTATTCTCCAAATCCAAAAATAAACTTCTCAATAATAAGCATATGCAAAATTATAATAAAATTAATACATAATATAAATAAAACTGAATACATACCGATGTTTCAACAAACTGCATTAGATTATTTCGATTATGAGCAGAAACAAGAAAATCATAAAATGGCACATGTTCATTTGAAAGCTTTGTGGCTGTTGTTATTTTACCCTGTAATGTAAAAATAAATTATGAAATATTTTAAATGAAGTTTTATAAATACATATTAAGAAAGAAAAATCCTAATTTAATTTTTATAAAAATTTCCATATAAATATATAATAAACATACCGTTTTATGATTAATGGTAAATTGCCGAAGTGCAGGACCAGTTGGTTTACTAATATTATACCATACTGGATTTCCATTTGGAATAACTGCTTTGACATCTAAGACAGTGCTTCCAACTTCTAACATGCCATCAACATCAACCAAATATTGGGTTGAAGTAAATTTTGGAAGTGGTTCGTCAGCATTATCTCGGAATATTTCAATAGTTATCTCTGCTGTGCTGCAGATAAAAATATTAAATTTACTAAATTAATTGATATTCAGATACGTTTAAGTAAAATATAATGAAATGCTTAATTATAATATGGAAGCTATAAAAATAAACTTAAGAATATAATGATAAGAGAGAAGAGAGACAAGATTATCCCAACACTAATGTCTGAATCAGTGCCGGCCCGAGGCAAGTTTAAGGATGGAGCGAGATCCTATTATGGCGCCCCTTTGGTGGCCCCTAATTTATACCCTTTACTTTTCTTTAACACTGAGGCGCCACCTAAAACTTAGCGCCTGGAGCGGATGCTCTGTTCGCCCTATGGTAGGGCCGGCTCTGGTCTGAATATATTTTTATAAATTAAAACAATATTTGACTAAAGTGCTTTCAATTGTATTAATCATTAGTTATTTAAATAATTATTATGTTGCTTATATAAAATATTTTTTATAATAAGTTAGTTAATATCTAGAACAGAAGAATAAAATTTTATCTTTTGTAATTATTGTAGTACATAAAAAGTAAATAATTCCATTACTGTAAACTTTTCTTAAAATCTTTAAATAAATTTTTTGGAAACAAACATTTAATTTAAACATTTATCACAACAACAACACCAGTAATAATTTACCTTATGAAACTGACAACCAGTGTGCAAAGTAAAACAAAATGAAAATTCACCATGAATGTTTTTGAACTCCCAGAGTTCTTCTTAAAACGTTAAATGGATGTCCAATGGAATGTAAAAGCTTTGGAATACAACCATTCGAACAGTCAACCCTTTTGACTCCATTTCATCCTTTTAAAATTTCTCATGCATCCAATTCGAACAATTGTTCAAATGGTTGTATTCCAAAGCTTTTACGTTCCATTGGATATCCATTTAACGCCTGAAGAAGAACTCTGGGGAGTTCAAAAACATTCATGGTGAATTTTCGTTTTGTTTTTCTTTGCACACCAGTCATCGGTTTTTGCAAGGTACATTATTAAACATTTATACTGAGAGCAATCTGAAAGACCATTTATTTCAAATAATATATCAAAATGTCTGAATCAAATAGGAAAAATATTATTAATATATGTAAAAAAGTATCCTTCTTACAAGCAAGAAACTGAGCCAAAAGTATAAAGATTATATACAGAGTGGGCACAAAGTCCTATCACCTCTATGGAAAATTAATTATATGTTCCATTTATTTTTTGTTTTAGATAAAAGAACACAAATAATGGCTGATACAAGTAACTACACTATTGAAGAACAAATAATTGCTGGTTGTTGGGTTTATAAAAGGGAAAGAACAAGAAAAACAATGAAAGAGATGCATGCAAACTTCCATCAGAGATTTGGATGACAGCATTATCCAAAAATGAGATGGGAGCATAAGATTTTTAAAAATATTTTAAAAATATACTAAATATTAAAAATTAATTACCTGGAAAGAGGAAATGTTGCACCATCTGTAGCAATAATATTTAATTTTTCTGTAATTGGTAATAATGTTTGAGTGACATAAATCTGTCCTGTCTTAGAATGAACAGCAAATAATGGACTTGGTGGAATCATTTCATATTTTATTTCATTATTATTATTAACACCACTGTCTACATCAACTGCTTGTACTGTATAAATGACTTGTTTGGGTAGTGTAGAAAGTGGAATACGAATTACATGAGGCATTGATAAAAATACAGGACTGTTATCATTCATATCATTTACTGTTACCTATACAAGAAACAAAAATAAATACAACAATAAATATCAGAATAGGATTATATATAATATACAAAAATGTTTATTTCTACTAATATTTGTTAAATTTTACAATTATACAAAATAAATTTAGAAATTTATACCTGAATAGTAGTTGTAGCAAATTGTGGTTCTTTTGATTCATCTTGAGCTTCAACTGTCAATTCTAAATGTTTTGTTGTTTCATAATCTAAAGCTGAAACAAGTATAATTTTACCAGTATCTTCTTCTATTCTGAAAGCATTTGGAACTGTAGATCTCACTATTCTATATTTTAATTTTCCAGCTTTACCATCATCAGGATCAAAGGCATGAACATTTAATAAAGGTACATTAGCACGATTTTCATCTACTGATACAGAATATCCAAGTTTTTCAAATTTTGGAGGATTATTTCTCATTGTAGAAACACGCACTATAACCATTGTTTTTCCAATATTAGATGTAGCACCATGATCACGTGCAAAAACTTCCATTTCATATGTTGTATTTCTTTGACTAATTTTAGGAAGAGATGTCATTAAACGAACAACTCCCGTCTGAGAATCAACTTCAAATAATCCATGAGTATTTTTAATCCAATATGTAATTTCTCCATTACTTGCCAAATCTGGATCAATTGCTTGTACTTGCACAATGATTCTTCCAGCCGTAGAATGAGGTGGAATGCTCACAACATATCGATCTCTTTCAAATTTTGGTGGATTATCATTTTCATCTTCAACTTGTACAATGACAGGAACTCTAGTCTCATAAACTCCATCATAGGCTTTTACTATAAAATCAAAATTATCTTTTGCTTCTCTATCAAGTGACTGTTTTAGACAGATATCTCCAGTTTTCGGATTTATGGTGAATGGAATGTTGTTTTTATCTATCGAATATGATATGATATCAACAGTATCACCTCCATTTGCATGAGTCTGGAATATTTCAAATTGAGAAATAAATATATTATCAACATTTTTATTGATACATAGAAATGATTTATTATAAATAATTTATTTTGGAATTTTAAATACTTTATATTTTTTATAGAAAAATAAATTTTAAATGTATTTCAGTATTATCAAATGCTTTATGTAAGTCATATGCTAATAAAATGGATAATATGTTGAATCTGATGGATGATTTATCCAAATTTTAAAATATTTTTTTTAACTTTTTATTGTAAAAATTAGAAAAGCAAAAATATAAAAAATTAACTGGTAATATAACAGAATATATTAGTATATATTCTATTATATTACTAGTTATATAAAGAATAAAATATACTTTATATATTAGAATATGATATATACACTATATTAATAATTATGTATTTTAAAAACTCAAAACAAAAATTATTTACAGTTACTTTTTTAAAATAATTACAAAAGATTATATCAATAATAGATTACTTTTAAAAAACAATGTCCTGCTGGCAAGTTTTCTGGTAAAAATGCAGAATATGAAGTTTGAGAAAAGACAGGAGGATGATTATTTACATCAAGTACTTCAATCATTACAACAGCTAAACCATATAATGGACTTGTATGAGCTGAAATAATTATTTTTCATTAAAAATTATTATTCAAAATATTAAATGCATATAATTATTTTTATTTTTACAATGTTTTGTTGATAATGTCATACTGAAAATATATATTTTGTTATAATTTTAAAATAAAAACTTAACTTAAAAGATCATCTTATTAAATAACATTTTTTTAACATAAAATTAAAATTTTTTCTGCTTTATAATTAAATTAACTCATTTTACATCACAATTTTCTGTCTATATTACTTTACTGTAATTATTTTACAAGAATTATTAGAGATAAAAAGCTTTAGAATTATCAAATTAAACATTCCTTTAAAAAGATGAATTAATAATGATTATCTATTAAAAATTCATTTCTAATTCCTCTAACTGTTTGTTAAAATATAATTAACATACAGAAAAAATAAATAAATAAAATATCTTTGTCAATAATAAGTAATACTGTATGTATTTTAAGGCTATATTAGCATAAAAAACATTGAATACATATTACAAGAAACATGAAATTAATTTATAGGACAAATAATATAAATTGCCCAAAATAAAGCAATTTAAAATATTTCTTTTGAAACACAAAGGACAATATAATTAATAATAATAATAATAATAATAAATATACTATACTCACAATCTCTTGCTTCAACTAATAAAATATAATTCTTTTTGCGATCATAATCAAGTTTATGAGTTTCATTTGGAATCACTCTTATTTCACCACTGCTTGGAGATATAGCAAAGATTCCTTCTTCATTTCCACTTTTAATTATATACGTAAGGCTATTATTTTGAAGATCTCTATCATTAGCTTGAACCTATATATATGTACATAAATATAATTAAATAAATATTACAATGGATTATGTATGTAGCAGAAAAATGATTCAAAATAATTATTTGTAAAACTAAAATTTAATTTATTATACAAAATTAAGCAAATATTTTTTGTAATAATCATATTTTTCATTCCAGTTAAATGTTATATAAAAATAACTATAATAAAATCCCAATTATCTGAGATCTGATTAACCAAGGCAAATCCTGAGGCAAATCTGTGAGAGAATAACTATTTTTCTTATACTATAATTCATAAAAAAAGTTTAAAACAATAATTATACAAGAAATGAACATGTCTGTTAAAACTCATTTGTCCATTACATAATATCAACCTTAATACAGAATAATCTAAAATCAGTTTCCTATATTTCTATAAATAAATATTTTAAAATAACAATAAAATACTCACTTTGACTATGGGATAATTTGTTTGTTCTTTTTCATTAACTTTGCCATAATAAGTAAGTTGAGTAAAGACAGGAGGATAGTCATTTCTTTCTCTGACATGAATAGTTACTTGAACTCCAATACTGTTATTCTGAGGAACACCATCATCAGTTGCTCTTGCTATAAATGTATAACTTGTACGAGAATCCAAATCTTTTTGAACATACACATGACCAATGTTTTCATCAATTGAGAAAAATCCTTAAAAGTAGAGAAATAACAAATTAGAAATAAGACTTATGTAAAATAATATAATCAATATTTTAATGTTTTTAACCTGCATCGCCTCCAGTTAAACTATATTTTACATTATTTCCATCTCCATCAACAGCTTTTATTTGTCCTACTCTAGTTCCTCTGATTGCATTTTCTTCTACCCAGAAATCATATGGCAAACCCATAAATTCTGGAGCAAATTCATTAATATTCTGAACTTTGATGGTTACAAAAGCAGACCTAAGTAAAAAAAATTATGAGTTTTATACTTTTAAATAATAAAATTATTACTTATAAATATTGAAATTTTTCAAAAGTCTTTAACTATTGTCAACAACAATTTCCATTTACAATATACAAGAAATATGAAATACTGATATTTTGTACAGTTTTGATTTACGAAATCTTAGATATAGCATTAATATATCTAAATAAATATAAACATAAAAAATATTATCAAAAAGTTTGACTATTATTGCAACATATACAGGAAATCTTCATTCATTCGAACTCGGATAGTATGAAATCCTGTTAGTTTGTAACTACTTTTCTCCTGATGGGGATATAGAGATTTACATGTTAAGAAATTCGATTAGTTCAAAATACAGCTACCTCAAAATTTGAAGTGAAAATTCAGTCCAAACTGACATATGCTTATGCTAACTTGTTCGTTTAGATCAAAGTTCCTACATACTGTAAAAGAACAATAGACCAAGAACAACTCTAATCTGATCAATATGGCTTTACTTTTAAAGCAAAACATTTTCGGGTGTCACCTTACCCTTTTTTTCTCTCTTCTCATAGAATAAAGCTTCTTTTCAGGATTGCAAGATGGGCTACAAGTAGAAGATTAAGCTATTTGAAGGGTTCTATGCTACTAGATTTGAGTGACTTACTACATTTTGGGACATTTTAAAAATAATTTGGGCTACATTTTGAGGAATTTGCTTTACTTTTATTTTTTATAACCTATCTGGTAACCTGTGAGATTCTCACCAAACATGTGCTGTTTATCTTCACATTTATATTATTATTATTATTAATTATTAATTAATGGAAACAGCGTTCTTTGTATGTATTTATATCCTGTTTATAAATTACATCAATTACATGGCATTTGGCAGAGCATACAGATATATATATATATATAAATCTCAGATAATTCAAAACTCAAAGTCATAATTATTTCATCCCTTGAATTTGAACTAATAAGGATTTCCTGTAACTATAATTTTTAAAATATTTTATCATAAAACTGAAATTAAAAACTGCATTACCTAATTTACTTTTAGTCGTGCGTGAAAAAACTGTATATGTACACAAATAGTAAAAAATATACTGTTTTAACTAAATTTTCCAAATTATGAATGTTATTACTAGTTTACCAAATATTACTAAAAGAAGTTGTATTCATTACTTTAAATACTCTTAAAGTTGTAAGGGAATCATAATTATCCAAAGTGATGTGGACTTTGGGATAACTCTCAGATAATAAGATGTTTAGTACAAAGTGATCAACAAAATACAAGAATATTGTCATAAAGTCAAAGTTTTATGACAATTATAATTTAAACTTCTTTTATCTTTTTCAAAATTCATATTGTAGTGTGAAGTCATTATAGTAAACTCTTTTTAAAACCAGAGCTTCTTTTAAATACCATGCATCATCCAGCCATGGTTTGTGAAATTAACTATACAATACAATGTTCTCTTGTCTTTGTTGACAAAGTACTATTCCATATTCATCTTGAATAATACAGAATCTCAGTTAAGCAGGTGTCTATTAATTGAGACTCCATCGTATATTTATTAAAAACAGACAGGTATCTTTAAATTAATTCTCCTATTTTAGATTAAAAAAGCAAATTTCATAAAATTTTTATAAAACACACTAGCGACATAATAAAAATAATTCTGCAAAAAATAAATTGCATTCTACATAACTATAATTCACTGAAAAATCTATAAAATAAAATCATCTTTTAATTTGACCAATAAGTTCTAATATATTAAAAACTAATAATAATACAGTAGAACCTCGAAAACTCGGCTCTCGATAACCCGGCACTCCAGATAACTCAGCCACACCCTGGCAGGGCAAAAAACTCCTTAGTTAATTAATTTTCATTATAGACAGCTTTATAAAAGTATAAAAGCTCTCATAAAGTATTTTTCTGAGGTCTGTCTTATCAGGTAAATTACTGTACACAGTGTATTCATTAATTTTCATTTTCATGTAGTAAAGGCTCTATGCCTTCATAAAGGNTTACAAATTTAAAAATTCCATGTTTAAACTTTTAACAAACTACACTTTCTTAGTTAAGAAAATTTTCATTTTAAAGCAATAAAATGGAGAATCTTACGTAAAGTTAACTACTACTGTTATAATTCTGTTAATTAAAATAAATTTTTAAAATTTGCAATTATTTACATTTAATTAATTAATGTATTGTAAATTTACTAATTTATCTCTTAACAACATTAAGAGATACCAGCTTAAATTCTTTAAAAAATTAAAGTACAGTAAGCCCTCCATTTAACGAATTAATAGAGGAAGAGTTCGTTAAATCGAATTTATTTTTAAAATATATAATAATAATAACGAACTTATAATGTACGAGATGTATAAAAATTATAAATAAAATATTACTATAATGTACAGTACATTGTATAGTTTATACTCATTGCCTCATTAACTCGCTTGTTCTATTAGCGAATTAAAAACAATCTAAATTAAATAGAGGTCCATTAAATCGAGGGCCTACTATATTAATAATTAACGATTGCGTAAAATTATTCTAAATTACTTTTGTATAAATATATTTTGATTTAAAAACGTCTTTAATTTCTTCATTTTGTTATATAAATACTTAATTACGTTACTTAATTTATTTATTATTTATATTATTGATAAATATGGATATTTTTTGTGTGTTTAAGGAATGTTTTAACCTGACGACCTAGTAGCCTCTAAAGAAAGGTCCAGTCATCGAAGGTATTCTGGAATATGTGATTAGAATAAATAATGATTTTCAAAAAATATTTTTGGACAGACTGTGTCTTTTTTGATTAACTTAAAATTATCATCCGGCAAAATTTTACAAAATAAAGTATTTTATTAACTTACCCAGTTAATGGTGGTTGACCAGAATCAGTAGCATAAACAGTAAAGCTATGTTTATCTTTACTTTCATAATCCAATAGAGAAATCAATATCAGTGTTCCACTTGCATTATCAATCCTGAACACATCCTAAAAAAGAATTATAAAAGAATTTAATTATATTATATTTTATCTCTATTAGTTAAATTATTAAATGTAAAATACTCACGACTAACAATAAATAAAACTTGATTTAAATATAAAATAGCATTCAGAACTTTTTTATTTTGTTCATTTTCATCATTCAATCTTTATTATTGTTTATTAATAATTTAGTATTATAATATAATTTTTTAAATTTTTAATAAATGGTGAATATATTTTTAACATTGTTTTCTACTTTTTCCATAATTTATATCTCTCATAATTTGTACAACTAATTCTAACTTCTATAAAGTTTTGTATCATATGAAAACAATCTATTCAGTTAATTTAATACAGTCGACCCCAGTATAACACTGTTGATAATTCCGTTTTATATGAATTCCATGTTGTACGAGTCACTTAGATTTTACGAATATGTGAGCCGTTCACAGCCTGGCACATGTATTTGTAAAATCTAAGTGACTCGTACAACATGGAATTCATATAAAACGGAATTATCAACAGTGTTATACTGGGGTCGACTGTATTAAATTAACTGAATAGATTGTTTTCATATGATACAAAACTTTATAGAAGTTAGAATTAGTTGTACAAATTATGAGAGATATAAATTATGGAAAAAGTAGAAAACAATGTTAAAAATATATTCACCATTTATTAAAAATTTAAAAAATTATATTATAATACTAAATTATTAATAAACAATAATAAAGATTGAATGATGAAAATGAACAAAATAAAAAAGTTCTGAATGCTATTTTATATTTAAATCAAGTTTTATTTATTGTTAGTCGTGAGTATTTTACATTTAATAATTTAACTAATAGAGATAAAATATAATATAATTAAATTCTTTTATAATTCTTTTTTAGGATGTGTTCAGGATTGATAATGCAAGTGGAACACTGATATTGATTTCTCTATTGGATTATGAAAGTAAAGATAAACATAGCTTTACTGTTTATGCTACTGATTCTGGTCAACCACCATTAACTGGGTAAGTTAATAAAATACTTTATTTTGTAAAATTTTGCCGGATGATAATTTTAAGTTAATCAAAAAAGACACAGTCTGTCCAAAAATATTTTTTGAAAATCATTATTTATTCTAATCACATATTCCAGAATACCTTCGATGACTGGACCTTTCTTTAGAGGCTACTAGGTCGTCAGGTTAAAACATTCCTTAAACACACAAAAAATATCCATATTTATCAATAATATAAATAATAAATAAATTAAGTAACGTAATTAAGTATTTATATAACAAAATGAAGAAATTAAAGACGTTTTTAAATCAAAATATATTTATACAAAAGTAATTTAGAATAATTTTACGCAATCGTTAATTATTAATATAGTAGGCCCTCGATTTAATGGACCTCTATTTAATTTAGATTGTTTTTAATTCGCTAATAGAACAAGCGAGTTAATGAGGCAATGAGTATAAACTATACAATGTACTGTACATTATAGTAATATTTTATTTATAATTTTTATACATCTCGTACATTATAAGTTCGTTATTATTATTATATATTTTAAAAATAAATTCGATTTAACGAACTCTTCCTCTATTAATTCGTTAAATGGAGGGCTTACTGTACTTTAATTTTTTAAAGAATTTAAGCTGGTATCTCTTAATGTTGTTAAGAGATAAATTAGTAAATTTACAATACATTAATTAATTAAATGTAAATAATTGCAAATTTTAAAAATTTATTTTAATTAACAGAATTATAACAGTAGTAGTTAACTTTACGTAAGATTCTCCATTTTATTGCTTTAAAATGAAAATTTTCTTAACTAAGAAAGTGTAGTTTGTTAAAAGTTTAAACATGGAATTTTTAAATTTGTAAATTTACAAGATAATTTTTTATTAAGTTTTTCATTTTATGAATGCATTTAACTTGATTGTGTTTTAAGAACGTCGACTTCTTCCAGAATTAAAAAGTTAACAAATAACCGGATCATCGTTCTTTCTCCAAATTCTTTGCATACTTTGCAAAAGAGAGAGAGAGAGGGAAAAAAATATATAATTAATGAAAATCTCTACGTTGATTACATGGAGCGATCGTCAGAGATGAGCAGATGGCCTTGTTATTCCATCAAAATCGCTAGGGGAGGCCTTATATTCACAATAAGACTCAATTCGCTAAAAGAGATTCGACTTTCCAATATTAGAGACTTAAACTCGCTTTTATTATTTAAAAATATGGATACAAAAATAAAAGTTGTAACTTGAAAAGTGATTTATAGACACATAAATTCAAGTTTTTAAAGTTTCTTAGACTGTGTATTTATAAATAAACATATTGGACTTCAATTTGAAAAAAATTGTAGACCTATAAATTTCCATTGTAGTCCGTTCGTTTGTCTGTATGTCTATCCTTACTTAATCTCGAGAACGGTTTTAGATAGATAAAGGGCGAAGTTAGATATGGAAAATTTAGGGTAAGGAGCCAGGAGTAAATAAATACGAACTACCGGTTTGCATCGGAAGTCACGTTATTTCAATTTTAAAAAAATTTTCCCTTGATTGGAGTTAGATAGATGATTGGCACGACCCTATTGCTAACAGGAAAAGTATGTTGTACAGGGGAAAGACACAACTAAAAAATTAAGAATATTGTGATGATATTACAATAAATAATTGCTAGTTATTTCTATTTTTTTAACATGAAAATTGGGAAAGTTTAATTTCGGAACTGGACTTATACTCTGCTTATAATAATTTTTAAATATATTTATTTATACATAGTTAATCAACAATTTACATAGTTAAAAAAAAAATGTAAAATTTTTCTATATATGCATATACTGATATGAAATTAATTTAAAAAATATTTAGCTTTTTGAATACTTAAGTAAACTTTTCTACTACTGTAATTTACCATTTTCTTTTTTTTTTATTCCACTATTTTATAATAAAAAATGCTGAAGTTTTAATATAAAAATTTCTGCCAAAACAAACTTACGACTAATGATCAATTACTTAATCATCATCTTGTTAGAAAAATAAATATAAATATTGAAATAAAAAAAGTATAGCTTGTTTATGGCAAACAGAATCTTTTGAATATGCATGTCATCGTTACAAGCTTCGATGATTTCCTTAATTGCTAGAGTTAAGTTTCAAGTGGTTGATACAAAACTACGCAAATTTGCATATAAAACTGAAATAACCTCATCAACAACACGCATAAACATAATAATCTAGAAAACTTTTTGAAATATTTAGTAAACCAAGCATTATTTCCGTTTCTAATTAATAGTTTACATTATTTCAGAGTTAATGAACTCGAGAATAACATGAACATCATTGTCTGAAATTATTTATTTTCGATTTTTTTTACGTTGCAAAAGGAATCGAATCTTCGTCGAGATGTAATTAATTAAATTTTTTTGGAATAAAATATGAATAGGTCTCATATTTACTTAAAGAAATCCAAATTAAATATCAATTTCTCACGTGTCAAGTATCGTATTTTGATAACTTAAGTAAACTATTTTTATGATTATGTTAAATATAATTTATCAAAGTTTTCGTAAACAAATTAAAGTACGTTTTAAACTTATTGATATAATAATAGAGCAGTCTAAGGTTATCTGTTTCCGCGTTAAAAGACTTCTTATCTTAGAAAATACAGTAAACGTCCTCCTATATTCATCTCGAATCTCTTCTAAGCTGTAAATGTCATAGCTTGGAGCATTTCTTTAGAGAGAAACGGAAATTTTATTCCCTGTATTTTCTTTTTTAAAAATGTTTTTAAAATTTTGCATATTAATTTTATTCAATTTTTTCAAAGTAAAATTGAATTTATGAAGTTTTAAAGTGCGCAAAATATTTAAATAATATTAATTGTTTCCATAGAATTACAGTATAACATTTATTA